CCTCCCTGAAAGGCACYTCAGTGTTTCATTCCCTCTACTTCTTCAGCTGGAAGGGTTTTCTCAACTGTTTTCAAGACCACCACATAGCACAGGAACAGCCAATTCAACCAGAGTAACCACGCGTTTTGCTTTGCATTTTTTTCCCTGAAAGGTCACCCCAGTTCTTGCAACCTTTCTCCATGCTCTCATCCCCCACTAGGATAAACAACCACCTCTGTCCCCCCCTTCCCATCTCTGCCCTCCCTGTGCAGTGCTGGCCCTGCTGTTCAATGAAGTTCAGAACTAAAATGAGAATTCCTGAGGGATTGTTTTTCTTAAAATTCACATTTCTAAAACTGTAGAGCTCATTTAAGTTTTATTTTCTCAGTTTGAGCTAGAAAGCCATAAAAGTGTATCAACATGAACTACTTGTTAGTCTGAAGTTTGTTTTACTTACTCGCATATACACAGCCTCTGTGTCTATTCTGAGCTATCCCACTGCATTATTTTTTTCATTATTTAATGTCTTTTTATAYCATTAATTTTTACTGTATCCACCCAGCTATTAAACCATAACAATTTCAAATCACTGTGTCGATAGAACCGTTTATGCTTTTATTTGTTTTTGGATCTCCATACGGCACTCTGGCTCCTGGGCATGCAATACTCTTTGTCCAGTACCCAATCAGTGCACCTATGCCAACCCCTCAAGCCTGGTGATAATTCTTGTTTGAACTCTTGTGTCTCAGTAGCCCTTTGAGCTGAACACCTTCCACCAGTGCAACCTCATCAGAGAATCAGAGGGACTGYTCCCATCCTCCTTGCTTTAGGGTACCCTGCGAGTAAATTTGTTTTGCTTTGACTTTCTGCTCTGTAATGCCTTTTCCAAAACCATGTCCACCTTGCCCTCTGCCGTTATTCTCTTTGTACTGAATCATTTGCTTCCAAAGTTATCTCCTTTCTGGGAATAGGCAACTTCAATTATTTTCCTCAGACARATCTGCACTTTTTCCAAGCTGAATCCTCTCAAATGTTTTGGTGTTTTTAGTTACTTTTTGTGGTTTGCTATTTCTCTGAGACTCCAGTGAACCATCACTCAGTTCCCCCAGCTAACATCCCTGACATGTCTGTTATTCCACTTTAAAGAGGATTCATTGGATGACACCAGGGAGGATATAAATATCAGCATATCCCAGCACTGTTCTCAGAAAAGGTGCTGATTCCCTGCTTGTTTCTGAGACGYGCTTCAAGCTGACTTTTTAGATCCTCCATGGATTTTGCCATTTGGGATGACCAATATAATGCATTGCTCACTTTATCATCCATGTTACCTGCGGGGTAGCACTTGCAGGCTCTCTCAGATCATCTGTATCTAGGCCACTACACAAAAACCGCCTGAATTTGAAAGGCGCGACTTGCTCGCAGCACCCATTCAAAATCTAAAAATTAAGCCAGTTTTACAGCACTAATGCCAGATTACACGATTTAGCACTAATGCCAGATTATTGTTGCTGTGTACTCCCAGGGACAGGCAASAGCAGCTGGCAGTGCCCTTTGGCACTGTGCTTTATTTTCCTGCTCAGGAAGGAAGCAGCATGAACTCAGTCCCACCTTTCACTGCACATCTTTCCCTGCCCCCTGTTTGTACGGTCAGTGTTTCAGCCAGGCCCTGTCAGAATCCTCCACTGCAGCTTCCTGGCAGTTGTTGTCCTGGTGCTGTCCAAGATCTCGAGAAGCTGCAGAAAAAAATCATCCTTTGCCATATGTAATTCAGGCACTGGAGGGACCTGCCTGTCCCAGGGTGGTCCAGCCAGCTTATGCTGTGCTCCTGAACTGCTCCTGTGGCCACTGGCTGTGACCATCTCAGTTACTGACTGCGACCTGACAGGTCAACGGGGAATGGTTTTAAGCTGAARAAAGTGTAGATTTAGATTAGATATTAGGAAGAAATTCTTTAMTGTGAGGGTGGTGAGTCGCTGGAATAAATTGTTCAGAGAAGTTGTGGACGCCCCATCCCTGGAAGTGTTCAAGGCCGGGTTGGATGGGACTTTGAGCAGCCTGGGATAGGGGAAGGTTGAAACAAGATGTTCTTTAAAGTCCTTTAGAACCCACACCATTCTGTCATTTTATGGTCTAGCCAAGCTCCTGAGCAATGATCAGCTCTGTGAAGGAYTCACTGGGCAAGGCCACAGCAACCAAGAGAAGGGATTCCAGGTTTCTCCCTGCCAGCTCAGATCCCAACACCATCTCAGTCACAGGAGMAACGAGTGCCAAGGACCCAAAGGCTCCAGGCCCAGAAATCTCTGCCACCCCCATCTTAGACATGGTCACACACTCKGTCAAGGGCTGTTACAAGCCTGAATGTGCAGAAATTAGGAATCAGGCTCTGGCTTCCCACTCAAGGTCTCCCTTCTGTGTGTAAGTACAAAGGCTTTGCATTTAGACTTTATTCACTGGGAGCACTCAACCATTGGTTTAAGTACATCATAAAACAGACAAAGAGCTATAATATGTACCAATGGAGCTTAACCTTTCCTGGGGCTGTTGAGGAAGGCAGTACCTTAAGATGTGCAAATAGATGGCTGACAGGGCCTTTTCTGCAGAACTTCCCACCTTAGGCCTCTCCTTGTTGTCTGTAAGACCTCCAATCCACATCTGCAGATCAAAACTATCTAGGCTACTAAACAAAAAGTGCCTGAATTTGAAAGTCATGATGTGCTTGCAGCACCCAATTAAATACTTAAAAATTAAGCCAGTTTTACCAAGGCAGTTGTTTCCACTCTTCTGAAGGGCTTCAGGCTCCCAATCTGAATCACATCTGCAACCTAATACAGGCCCTCCGAAATTGTCACATATGGGCTCCTTCTCTGCAAGTCCTGTTCATCCACAGAGAGTCACAGAGTCAGAGGACGATTAAGGTTGGAAAAGACCTTAAAGATCATCAAGTCCAACCATTAGTAGCAGAAGAAGTGTAGGGGTGTCAGCATGAAAGGGATTGCTGAATGTGCTGTTTCTTCTCCAAAACACTGATAAATACTTCAAGCTGAGCACAGCCTGCTGTTCATGTAGTACTGAATCAGGCACTGACATTTTTGAGCTCTTCACTTTGCACTCACCCTCCCGTTTCTGTTGGGGTTTGTTAGGGAAGAGCCTTGTTCTCTCAAACTTTGCAMAGTGTCCTTGGTCCCATCTCAAAATAAGTAATTTCTGCTTGATGAAACTCACTAAAACATAGCAGAAATCTGGTGAAAGAGGAGACACCGAGCAAAGAGCTGCATTTTTTTTTGGTTTTGCTTTTTACTTACATTTATGGGATTTAGAATCACAAGCCAAGGATAAAGCTCCTGCAAAGCCAGCCTGCCTTTCCTCCTGCCTTTGCTGCAAGGAGCTGTCAGCTCTGCTGGGCTGGACCTGCTGTCCCGAGCAGTCCTGGCTTAGGCTCCCAGAGGAGCAGWGCTTGCTGCCTGGAGAGTTAGTGGGCAGCTCGCCTGCTGCAAATGCATTTCTCTGCTGCTCTCCTTTGGTCCGAAGGAGCTGCAGAATTTTCTTCCTCTTATGTAATGGTCTGCTGGTGTCTTTGCTTGGAAAACCTCTTTTTCAGCTGGAGGGTGTCAGGAGCCGTGTCCTACCTCTCTTGGGTCACTGCTGAGAGAGCAGCTGCCCGAGGGAGATGTGCCAGGGTGTGGGCAGCAGAAAGGAGCAGCTCCTCTCCCCTTCCTCCCCTTGTGTCCAGCAGTTCCAGGGGTCACTCTCCTCCTCCTAGGAGCACGGGGCAGCTCCAGCTGGGCGACCCCGGGCAGCAGATGGGGGAAAGGGGAAATTTGGGCTGGGAGCTCTGCCTGGAACGGTGTGTGCCGTGTGCCGTGTGCCCCCCGCTCCCCGAGAGCCACAGCCCGGCTGGGGCAGAGCCGAGTGCGGGGGGGATGCGATGGGACCGGGGGGCGAGAGCGGAGCGCGGCGGGGGAATGGGGGGGATGGGACAGCGGGATGGGAGCGGAGAGCAGCGGGGGGATGCGGTGGGACAGCGGGATGGGAGCGGAGAGCAGCGGGGGGATGCGGTGGGACAGCGGGATGGGA